TCGGGAACTTCATCATCGATTATTATTGTGCTCACTGCCTCTCTCAAAGCCTGCTTAGACTTCGGACCTAATGTCTTTATCAGCCTGATTGGAATGCCTTCTGGGCCTGTTGATGTACTACTAGGAACCCTTTTCTCAGCCCTTTCCCACTCTTGTTGTGAAAATGGAGCCATTGCACCACTTGATTCGTCCTTGTCTATTGTCGTGCATAAAGTACTTCTTTGTTGAATTTTTTCTGTCACCCTTGTTCTTATATATTCTATAGCTTCGTTCTCTTCTAGCCTAGCACCTTGGGCTGTAGTTATAAAACTCTGCTCTAGGCTCGTCTCATTTCTTAGGGAGTTTAGATGGTTCCGAAATTTCGCAGCTGCCTTTCTATCTTTTTTTATGTACTTCTGCCAGCCACTGAGCTCCCTTCCTTCTAATCTTTTCATTGATCAGAAGGGATGCATCCCTTCTACAGCTTAGAAAGGTTGCCCATTTTCTTTCAACATCGTCAGTCGGTTCCCCCCGCTGCTTAGCATGTCTGTATTTACTAGAGGCTTCCTGACGTTTTGCTATGGCTCTCTTAACTTCCTCATCCCACCAACTTTTGGGTTTGTGTCTTCTCTTCCGGGGTGACTTGTCACGCGTATTAGCAAGCTCTAGCTCAAAGAGTCTAATTATATTCATGTATGTCCACACTGTCTTATTATCCTCCGTGATTACTTTCTCAATTTGTTTAGTGGCTATTTCATTTAGCCTTTCTGGATAAAAATTTTTCTGTAGTTGCTCATCTTGTCTCCTTCCCACTTTCACTGCTCTTCCAAAACTTAGCTTGATGCGTTTGTGGTCACTACCCAGACTTCTGGAGCCACCTTCCTCTATGTGCATTCCCCTGAGCTTATACATCCTATGTGACATCAGTGCATAATATATCGTCGACCGCAGCCTTCCTACCTCCATGTTATTTGCCCTTCACAACTTCTCGGCACTGTTGCAAATGATCAATCAAGCCTTTCACACATTCCATGATCATTTCTCCTGTCGCGTCGGACTACCCATCTATATCTTCTATGTGCGCATTCATGTCTCCTAGTATAATTATCTCGCACTCTCTTCCTAAGTCCTGAATGTCCTTTTATATACACTCTACCATTGCCTGGTTTTCCTCTCTGGCCTTTGCCCCGTCCACAAGTACACGAAACCAGTGCACTTTACATGCAATTTAGTACGTCTGTCCCTTGAGTATATGCTCAATTCACCTAATCTTGAAGGCACTGGTGCATCCACCAGCAACCTGCAGCAAACTTTATGTTAACCGACTGCTTCGAGAGCGCGAGGCGGTGGCAGTGTTTTCATAGCTTTAAACATCTTTAAAGTTTCGCTTCTAAAGTGGCAAAGTGACGGTTATGTCGTGTGTTCTGATCACAGCTCCAATTTGTGCTGAACAGCTAGTAAACTTCTCACTGCTGTGCTACCCCTAATTTGGGTTGTAAAGTTTAAATTCATTATTTAACATACTTTTTGGGCGGGACAGGAAGTTGGCTTCTTTGGGCAGCCTTCAGAAACTGCATTGAAGCGAATGCACAGTGTAAGCATGACCACACAGAAAGCGTGGTGCCGACATTGCGACGGTTATGCAGTACTTCCCAATTTATTTCTTTGGCTTCGTAATTTAAATTGTCCAATTATCGAACACATTATTCCACTGCAATGAAAATCTCTAAATCTGGCGGAAGGCTACACATGTCATCTCTCTCTTCGCCATTACAAATTTTTGTTACCTACCACCTAAGCCTTCAGGGACGCTGCTGGTGCTTGCATGCCCTTCTTCAGTGCTCCCATGGTGAAGCGGATGATGTGACTCCAAGCTCACAAAATGGATGATGCGACTAGCCTTGAAAGATGTCAATATAACCACGGGGTTATTGATGGTACATACACCATATTTCAAAGTGCTACACCTAAGTAAGACTATTTATTACTAGGCACGCCAATATGTAGAGTGGCGATTTTTTTGGTGAACTTTTAAGAAAAATGGCGACTTTTTGTTCATCGTTTGGCAAATTTTCCTCGAAAGTCAGTGGCAACCCTGCCTGCATTCACAAAATGCAGGAAGTTTTAACCACCCGATAAAGAGGCTAAATTCAGCCGGACACTTTGCTCTGTTTCGGTAGCAGTAGTAAAAACCCTCCTTCAGAAACTTAAGGGCAAGCCAAAAAACAAAGCCATCAGTGAATAAAAGATCACAGGTCATGCCATATAAGCACAAAGTATCCCACAACTTAAAGAAGGTGGCAAAGAAGTACAATGTACCTATTGTGTTATAAGCTCCACGGAAGCTGGCCGACCTCAGTCCGCGCATTGCAGCACTGAAAAAGCTGTCCCTTTGTGGTAAAAAAAATGGCAGCATATCCACGGAGTGAATGATTCGTTCTTGCTTCCGTCCGTTCCTGCGTACGTCTGTGTAACCGTCCATGCGTCCATCCACCCGTCCGTGCGTGCGTCCGTCCCTGCGTTCGTCCATGCATCCGCACCTGCGTCCGTTCATGCGTCCATCCATGCATCTGTCTGTGTGTCCGTTCGTTCGTCCATCTATTCAGCACTCCAAGTACCACCATCTCGCATCTTTTCATCATATATTCTCCATATAGAAGCACCGCCATCCAGCGGACATTTCAAGGACTAAACGGGAGGTGGAACATGCACACTTTCTTACGGCTTGCGCTTCGGGTTTACTTCCCACCTTTAACCACCTCGAGTTCATGGTATATACTAGTTCACTGTATTCATGGCTATGCGGCCCAACGCTTGCTAAACATTTCTAAAACCAAGGAGGTTACACCCAGCGAGTATAACGTAGCAACCCTTTCTTGTCAGATCGTGCTCAATGTACATGCCAATAGCTGCTAATGGGGATCGCAGCGTGCGCGTTACCTAAAGGCCGAATGCTCCCGTCTCTCATTCCCCCTTAGCAGCCATTAACATGTGCATTGAGCACTATCTTTTATTGTTCAACAACGCACAGAAGAAATCTCTCACCGGAACCACCTTGGAGGTCAAAATCATAAGGACCGCTATTTCGGGTATGTGCCACTGGTGATTACGTACTACGAGGGACGCACAAGCCACGCCATAAGGAGCTTCGCCCCTAAAACATACTCGGCTATTTGTACCTTGCGTGGTGGGTGTGCTCTATGAAATTCCACTTAGATGCAGCAAAGTTCATATCGACCAGATTGGACGCTGCGTTAATGACAGGGCCAAAGAACATTACCTTCCGTTTAGAAATAAGATCAGTGCCCATTCACCTATGCACTGTGAATCCTGCATCTGTGTGCAGAACCTTGGAAGGAGCAAAAACACCATGGCACGTGAACTTTTGAAGATGTATTTTATTAATGTTAAATGAGATGTGTGCCTCAGTGACGAGTCTGTCATGCTTCGTAAAGCATAAAAGCAATTTCTTTTGTTGCTATCATGATGCCATAAACGTGGGATTCATCACAAATGTCCTGCACAACCGTTACTGCGCACATGTTTGCAGTGCTCATAAAAAAAGGCAGTTTTTTTTTTAAACAATGTAAGTTGCAAATTGACTCTCTATCCTGTCCCCTTCCTTTTCTTTTTTTTTTTTTGTCGACGTGGGTTACGTTCTTCACCTTTCTTCAAAATGAATGAACTAGCCCAAGTATACATTCTAGTATGATGTGGCGAGTGAAGAAAAATTTCGAGGAGCTCAAGTGAAGACCAATCAGACTTGCACAACTCAAAACTTCTGAGAGACAATCATTAAGATGCACGTGCACGCATAGGAGAGGAAAAAATTATGACATTGATAGTACAAGCAAATGTTTCAACGTAGAAGCAAAAAGTCCATTATTTACTTGAGGATGCATGGGCGGCGGCGCATTACATAAACCGAAGGTCGCTAAAAAAAGAGTCGCCTGTCAATATATATATATATATATATATATATATGTATATATATATATATATGCTCTCATATGCCCTCTACATCGCCTAATTAAAATCACACACACGCACACACACACACAAAGACATTTACCTCCTGCCACATACTGATGGCACCCTATACAGCCAGTCCGACGTAACTTATCTTTTCTATCGGCTTAATGTCCAACTACTAGCACATTACCATCAACAACATGGACCCGGAGATTACAACATTTTCTTTATCTGTACTATTTCCAGTGAAATTGGTGAGATCACCTGCTTGAAAGAAGACAACTCGAGCTGATGCCACTTGCAGTGTGCAACATTTGTAGGCCATGGACCCAAGAACGCTGTTGCAGCATCAGAGGATATTTCTAACTTTATGACAAATAGAAACTTGCATAGCAAGAATGTCTCATGAACAGGTTTAGGTGGCAACAATGTGGGAATTGAACTTTTTCATGAACACAAATTCCCACAGTGCCCTAAATTATCACAGATTTGTCGATTGCCAATTCTGGTGCAAAGGAAAGGCAATTAACTGTCTTGCACATACATTAATTCATAAGTTTATTTCCCGGGCTTTGTCGCCTCTTATATAATCAGTAGAGTTTCTTAGAATTTTTCTTTTTACTGCATGATAGCTTTCCACAACTTATATTTCACAGCCACTGGACTGGTCATTACAAAAAATGGAGTGGGGTATTTGTGCTAGTTTTATAAGACAGGCCAGCAGGTTTATGTCGGCAATGCATCACTATCCTGTATGATCAGCACAATGCAGGAGCTGCGTCGAGTTTTTGTTCTTGCACAGATGCTATGAGTGCATTGTTAGTTTTGCTAGCACTTGCAGTTCTTATGTAACAAGAACCAACGACCTTCTACTGCAAACATGGACATCCATTTCGAGCTTGCTTCAAGCATAATAATGACTTAGCCATGAGCAATTGGTCACTCAATAAAGTAATTAGAAAGCAGTCTAGCTGTAATAACTGAATGCTTGATCTCCATTCTGCTAGGGTACAGATGGAAAGTGCCAAGTATGTTAGATGTGCAACTGATGCAGCAGTGTTTTCTTTTTTTAATGAAAAACACACAATACCCTAAAAATACCACATTTATATTAGGGCCAAGACCTCACTCTACAACAACAACAAAAAAAAGTGTGCTTCTGAAGTGCTTCACAGAATGAAAGCATGTGCAAACTACTACAGTATTATCACAGCTACAGGACTGGTCAAAGAGAGTAGCATAGAGGCTAGACTGTAACGGCAATACAAATTCACCTAAACAAAGTGTCACTTCTGCTCTGAACACGATATAGGTAGTGCATCAGAGGGAAGCAAAACTTTCACTAATAGCAGGTACTTACATAGATAAGTGTCTAATTGTCTTGTATTTTCAACAATGTTCCCAAGACTTCAAGGTCATTTACAATCTCTGGCCTGCTGTTGATGCCAGTCATACAAAAATTTAAATGAACTTACAATATCTTTTTATAGGCTCTATGAAATCCTGAATTACAGATCAATAATTTCGCATAAAATAACAGCAACACTAAGCCAGCAGATGCAGCAAAAGCCTCAGCATGTTGGTCGGCAGCTGAGCTCTCTCTCGATAGCAAGGTACAACACAAAGCGAGATGACAAATCCTGGATGGAAATTGTGAAACAGAATACGACAGCTTCTTCACAAATGAAGCAGCAAGCACCATTTGCCATACACATGGCCTAAGCACCCTCCCTCCTAGTCTGCCCTTCACATATCACAGTGCTGCTTTGCACAGTTTCTCGTTGCACACCAATCCGGTGTGATTCCCTTCAGGGTCTCTTCTACACCCTCCATATTCAGCATCACCCTGTAGGCTAAAACACAATGCAAAACAAGGAACATCTGGGACTTACACACCTGACATCGTACATGCAGGGTGCAGCAAGATGAAATCAAATAATTAGCTTGACACACTGCTGTTAGGAGGACCCATTATAAATGCACAGCTTCACCATTTCCACATTTTAATTTGGCACGAGGCTTGTGCATGGGACAACAAGTGAAGTTTCGAAACGATTCTTCTTTTACATGAATAACAAAAAATTATAGTACCATGTTAAACAAGTAGGAATACAATATGACATAATGTATAAAGTGGCACATTTTTTGTCATCCCCAAAAAAGGGGTCTTCAAATACGTTTGATTCTAGCAGCACAAAGATAACAACGCAGACACGTACAAGATTGTCAGTATGTAATGAAAAAAAAAATCCACGTGCTTCACACATCAATGTCTCACTCGAGGATAACTTATTCGCTTAGTGCCTCCAAGAACAAATCAGCATACCAGTGTTTGGTAATTAAATTGTATTACAGATAGCCTCAAATTATATAGTAGCTGCAAGTCAGCACTCATGTCATATTCATCCTTAGAGCTGTTAGAACAATGTCAGCAAGTTCAACCAACTGACTGAAACATCCTCACACGTAACGATGAACTTCTACAAAAATTACTCTAGAAGGAGTCCAACAAAATGACCCACAAAGGAGATTTTTGGCCGTTGTCGTCAACTAAACTGTGCCTATCGGTGGCTGCTTAATCAGAGCACCACAACACCCAGGTTTTACTTTTATTGACAGCAGCTGACAGAAAAATTATTAAGCTCCAGCCTTGACAATGCTAGACCCTAATAGTGCAAGCTATATTTGGACATGGCTGCCACCAACCTCATGAATTATGAGGTCACGATCGCTGCTCCTCACTCAAAGTAAAGAAGCCAATAAGAAGGTGGTTCTCTGACAGTGCACTTATCATGCCTCCCCTTATCACAAAAGTGGAAGGGTCAACAGGAGTGCATGTGCACGAAGACTTTCTGTACAGTTATACATAAAAGCTGTATCATAAAGATGTGTACTTGTATTCATTGGCTGGGAACTGCAAGATGCTGCCAGGTGATGTCAGGGAAGAGCTACTGCACACGAGTTTTACAACAGCACGTCGCAAGGAACAGCTTTCTGGGGGAGATAAATGCCATTTCTTTTCTTGAGCTCTACACAAAATATTTTTCAGCAATTTCACCATGTTTTGGTCATGGAATGTAAATTCAACGAACCCCCCCCTCCCCCCCTCCCCCCAAGAATGGTTCAGGTGCTCTTGACGTATTCAAGGGTTGGCCCACCTTTCAATACCATTTTTTCAATCAATAGGTTCCTGGGGTTATACTTTAGTGCACAGCAACAAGCACGGTTTCAGTTTTGTTGAGGTTATGTAGTCTTATTTCTACAACACGTGCTAGAAATGGTTTAAGAGCTAAATAGGACAGCAATAAAATGAAACAGCTCTCTTAAACCTAACTGAAAACTAGTGAAAACAATAGAATATTGTTCATCACTTTCATTACATTAATATAAATATAAAGGAGTGTTGAATGCAAGACTGCTTACTGGATCGGCCTGTCACTGAGATTTGAGGCTTTAACTAGGTTTTTCTAGGCAAATGTTGAGAACTTCAACAGACAAGGAGAGTTATTTCACATTAGCAAAGCACTTCGCATACATGGCAGATAAGACAAAAAGATAGAGGAAACTCCATTTTTTTCAAGTATATCACATAAAAAGATGGTGCGAGGGTGAAACTCAAGAAAAGTCAGGTCCCACAATAACAAACAAAACCAACAAAGACTGATTCACAGTAATATTCAAATTGAATTGTGCTTGATGGGGCATGCCACTATAAATTTCGTCTCGAATCCAGCAGCAGCCTGCAAAGGTGAGCACCATCTCGTTGAGAGTCACTGTTTCTGCACAGCACATTGCATACACTCAACAGGACAGGCTGAAAGAGGGCTCAAGACCACGCAGCTGTGAAACAGTTTGGGCAACAGCCCCATTTTCCAGGCATCACGAAGCCAGCAGTGTAGACTGCATTCAGTCATCCTTGCTCCCCTTGGAATGACTTGAGTTTGCTGACCGCTGCCGACGCATCTCTTCCCGGAGCTGGGCTTGCTTGATTCGAATCATGAGCGTTCCAGATGTCCACATCCACTGACCCTGCATAGTTTGAATATGTGTCATCAGCCTGACTAAACAAAAAGGAGATGCAAAAGCCTCTCCTATGTTTTTCTAATCAATGCGGTCCTCTGGCACTCAAAAACTTTGTCTCTGTCCACCTAGCTTTCTACCTCATCACGGTGCACTTGCCTTCTGTTGGAATCCAGTATGCTACCCTTAAAGGCGACCAGCAAAACTTTTTGAACATGGTTGGAAAACGCTGCCGACCAGTAGTCGGGGCTTCTGCAAACATGTCAGACTGTCTTTACAGCAGCACATGCCACATAAAATTTAATTACATTTCAAAGGCACTCTTTGCTTGGCAAATTACATCGTCAACTAGCTCAGCTCCAGTGGAGGAAGGAGGGGACATGGATTTGGCCAATTTCTTGGGCTGCATAGTTTCCGCAGCCACTGCCGTGTCGCCATGGCACATTCTGACGCCACACTCTATAATCTCTGTTGTGTGCTAAAATTACATAGTAGCGACACAAAGAGGTACATATTGCCACATTCCTTCCTAAAGTCTTGTTATCCCCCCCGTTACACTAAGTCATTCTTAATGCAAACCACACCTACAGTGTTTGAGAAGCTTCCAGGACAGTAATAGATCATTTTGTTAAAATTATGCGCACAAAGCCAACATTACAGATTATTAAGAGACCTACATGGCCGATAGCGATAACACAGGAATATTTGATGACACATGTGTAAATGTCGACAAGCTTCACCGCTTGTCAGTTGATCGATGGCTAACACTCTGTTAGCCGCTATCAGTGCCAGCGTGAATAGCTGCAATCGGATTTCCCTTTACCGGCCACAACTTCGCCTAATAAACAGTTCATCTTGGACATACTGGCTGCTGTCTTCGTTAACGTTAGGACCCATGTGACAATATGACCACAACAGCGTCTGTATACACATAACCCCATCAAATCAGTGACTACTTATAAACACCTTGGAGTACCTACTATAAATACCTACTTATAAATACCCTATCTTACAACTTGTCGTGGAACATTTACATTTACATTGCTAACATCACATCCAAAGGTGCAACAGCCAGAATAGAATTTGGAGCAATTTTTGGAGCAGTAAAATGTTCCTTTTCTAGCACAAAAATTCAAATTTGGAGCAGTTTGTAGAGAACCAAACATTCATTTTTTTTAATCCAGAAAGACCAAATTTAGAGGAGTATAAAAAAGAAGTCTTACATTTATAAAAAAAAATATGTGCGAGTCATCCAACATGCCCTAAATCGTGCAGTGTAAGAGCACTGCTATTTCAATAAAATTAGTATTATGAACCGCCTCACTGAGCAAATAATGATAATGTCCACATTAGCATTTGCCACGCCTGACTCAGCGAATTTAAATGTGGATCTGCAAAGCTGGCGACCTTGAATCTCAGGGATTCGTAGGGGCAGTGAGAAAATAAAAACTGGCACACAGTTTTTTTAGGGCACCAAAAATGCCATACACTGCTCCAAATAATTGCCAGTAACTTTTTTAGACATAATCAATCCTACTATTCTTCATAATTATGCGCCGTATACACGCATGAGTAGTTGAACAAAATGTGCTGTGTCCCATGATTAATGATAACAACCCCGTCGAAATCAAAACGCACTTTTCCACAGGGCACCGGTGTACCGCAGCGAGGGTAGAATGACCAGCGTTTTGCACGAGTTAGAACATGAAAACACCACTACGCCTTTCTTTTTTTTTCTTTTTTCCCCCGATGGGATTAGGTTTAGGGCAAAACTTCTTGTCTCGATTGCAAGGCGCATTCGACCACATAAAGTAATAATAGCACATGCTTGTTGGCCCGGCGACAGCCCCAGATATCTATCGCCGGGACGACACAACTTCAAGACAGAAAAATGTTTTATGTGCCGTTGCAGTGGCAACCAATTTGGTCGCCAGCAATGCCGATTTTCGCAGCACGCCGAGTCTGTTTGCATACGAAAAATGCGGCATACACTTCCAACTTTAGTTGCTAAGATGTCATAGCCACGTGGCTTATGCTTCCAGCTTTAGTTGCTAACATGCCATAGTCACGAGACGTTGGTGGCTACCGCAACACTTTCTTGTTTTCAAGTTCACAGTGGTCAATGCTATTCACAGTGGTCAATGAATCGATGGCACATGGCTTTGCTTTACGAGGTCAAACGCGTGTCACATGTGCCCTGACCTAATGAGGATATATGTTACACCGTAGTTTAGGGTTAGGGTCTGCGCGCTTGGACTGATTGATGTCGCAAACTGCAAGCAGATAGCCAACGTGGCCATTCTCTTCTATGATTTTGCGTTGGGCAAAGGAGACTTGGTAGAGACGACAGAGTACAACAGTATGGCCTTCAGTGTCGAATAATTCGTGTCGAAGGAGGCCTGGTATTTCGTTAGCGAATTAGCAACGCCTCACGTTGAGAAGTAAGAAGGTCAAAATTTATCCGGGAGCGAAGGAGGAAGAAATAGCGACCTTGCCCTGTTGTGTCTGAGCTGGCAAGAGAGACCAAAGATACCGGTGGAGGAGCTACACAACACGGCACTGCAAAACCTTGGAATACGAGAACAGTCTCCGTGGTGGGGTTCAGGTTCAGGATTACTGCAGCACTGCCTTTGAACTGCACCAGGCTGGAGGAGAGTACAACACTACGAGCCTGCTCAACCACATCACCAACTAACACAGGATACCTCAAAATTTCCGCATCAGCACCCACTGCACAAGCCAGTGCACTGGATATCGCCACCAGCTCACGTGGATTACGTCCTCCTCACCACCAGAATGCATATATTAATGCAGGCCCTGCGCGGCCCCCATTGGGCTTGGCAACACCGCAACCATGGTCACGGCAACTCACCTGTGACACCTTTTCGTATTGCAGGTAAAAAATCAATATTCATTGTATCCACGTCGCACTCGTTATGCGGCGCTCCTGGTGTTGCCAAGCCCAAAGTGCTGTTTAGAAATTGCAGTTGATTGTGCACATGTCATTAAACAGATATTAGCACTGTCAGGTGACATAGAACTAAACCCAGGTCCTACTACCCGTTCCGGTGAGACACAAGCATCCGGTGACTTACTCCTGGTTCTTAAAGAACTCCAGCCTGGTCAAGCTTCCATGCTGCAAAAACTCAAATCCATTCAGCAGAAGCTATCCCAGAACGACAGCGCTATTAGAGAGATCAATAAAAGGCTCACTAAAATAGAAAGTGATTGCAAATCGATAATGGGCATAAAAGAGCAAATCGATGATATCCGGTTACTTTCTGATAAAAATGCAAAAGACACAGCAACAATCAGGGTGAGATTAGACGACTCGGAAGACCGAGTGCGCCGTTCCAACCTCGTATTTTTTGGTTTTCCGGATCGCGAGCGTGAAACATGGGCAGAATCTGAAGCTTCAGTGCGGCAATTCTGCAGCAAAAAACAAAACACCACTATTGAACAAATGGAAATCGAGAGAGCCCATTGACTCGGGAAATTTACTCACTCTAAGACTAAAGATAAAGTTCTGTAATGCGCCTACAAACTGAAGGGTTCCAATTATCAAATATCTGAAGATTTCTCTCCCAACACACTACAAGCAAGGAAACATCTTGCTGAATTCGGAAGAGCTCAACGGCAATCATTAAGACTTTGGCATGACAAGTGAATTGTTGGTAGCAATACTTACACGTACGACCACAACACACAAAAGGTTGTACAGCGCCCTTTAAACGCTTAAGCCCCAGCCATGCCACTTTGCGAAGAAAGTCTTTTTCGTTTTTATATACCAACATAAGAAGCATCCTTCCTAAAGCCGACACTTTTCAAAGCCTAATTAATACAACGGAGTCCGATTTGTTCGCTATTACAGAGACATGGACTTAACCCTTCTATTACCGACAATGAGTTGCTACAGCTTTTCCCAGATTTCGATGTGTTTCGACGTGATTGTACTAATAAAGGGGGTGGCAGCATACTAATAGGTAGCCATAAAGATATTCAGTGTAGCGAAATTAAGACATCATCGTTCTTAGAAATCATGTTTGTTCTTTGTAATGCTTGTTATCGCCCCCACAATAATCGATGTTTGCTATCGTCCCCCTAGTAGTGACCCCCTTTTTGTATCTGAATTCCACGGGGCTATTCGCTCTTTCACTGAATCTTATCGAAATTTTCCGATACTGCTTTTCGGCGACTTAAATTTCCCAGCGATAACTTGGACTAACCTAGCATGTGTTACTTCCAAAAACAGTATAGAGAGCGATTTCATCAATTCATGTCTAACGTTTCGACTTAAGCAATTAGTCGATGAATTTACGCGCGACAGTGATAACTCCCTTCATAGTCTTCACCTTGTTCTCACTTCTGAGCTTGAAAGAGTGTCCCAGATGACGTTCCTACCAGGACTCAGTGACCACTTAGTAATCCATGCGTCCTATTCTTGTAAACTACACCATTCAACAAAAACAACAAAAAATATAACACTATATAATAAAGGCAATTATTCCGCTATAAACTCAGATCTCGAGCAATTCGCTGCTTTCTTTCTTATCGACCTTTCAAAGCGTTCGGTCGAAGCTAATTGGCTGCTATTCAAAAACAAAATATTAGATCTATTCACCAAGCATGTGCCCACGATTACCGCAACCGAGAAAAAGTCATCCCCGTGGTTTAACATCACAGTAAAATGCCTAAATAATAAAAAGAAATGGCTCTTTCGATTGGCAAAGCAGTCCAATAGCGAATGTGCGTGAAACAGGTACTACGCTACTACGAACAGGTACTTGCTAACAAAGAAAAACTTTTATTTTTTTCACAAACGTTGCCCGCTATTGTTAAGCAACAACTCCAAAAAATTCTGGCGCACAATTAACCCCAGTACCTTCCAACCTTTAGTACTGCACAACGATCAAAATCATCCGATTCCCGATCACGAGGCCGCCGAACAACTTAACAGCTTTTTTTTTCTTCCGTGTTTACCGTTGAACCTGTCGATAACTTGCCTTCAT